CGATGACCTGGTGGTTCGCAGCCCAACACGTAACCACTGTGCCACCAGGGTCCCTCTTGGCTAACACAGATGTCTCTAATGCACATCATGGATTGACAACACAGCACAAAATGGAGGCTATTTGGGGGAGACACAATTCAGTATGTAACAAGGGGAGAAATGCTAAAACGGAAGGAAGCCTTGGGTCTTGGGGAGTCCCCAGATTCATCCAGGATGGGGAGTCGTGGTGACAGGCCTGGCTGTCTCCACCCTGCCTTCCTGCACCCCGGTTCCCTGCTGTGCTGCCTCTTCAATGCTCTGGGCCTCAGTGATCTAACTGACTAATCATACTAGCTCCCCGCGATTGCTCTCTGGCTCTTTCTCAGAGATCCAGAAGGAAAATAGACACGGCAGGTGTGTGGGATTGATGGGGACTGCGCCAGGGGGACGTTAAGCCCTGATGTGCACTGGGTCCCGAGTCTCGAGTCAGGAGACGTGAGTTCGAACCTGCTCCGCCCTGTGTCACCCTGTGGCTTTGATCACCTCGTGTACTCATTAAGGGCCTCCTTCTCTTCCTCTCTATAGCATGCTCAGTTGTTCCCAAACTGAGTGCCAGGGCACCCTTGGGTTCCACAGACAGGCCTTGGGTGTCTTGGCTGCAGGGGGAACATTGAACCAGCCGGCCTTGGGGTCCCAGCCCACCTGCTTTACTCCAGTCAAGGAAATTTCCATTTTTATCTACTCCACATTTTAATTCCAAGTCAGCTTCCTTTAGAAAAGAGTGATGACCATAAGGATTCCATGGCTGAAGCAGGTTTGAAAGCCCACTGGATTCATTGCATGGCCTCTAGGGGCCCTTCCCACTCCCGTCTGGGAACGTCTGGGTCTAACTATTTTCCTCCAAGTTTTATTTCACAAACATTCATCCAGCACTTACTACAGGCCCAGGACTGTTCTCAGCACCCTGCAGGTATGAAGATAGTCCATCCCCTAGAACACCTACCCCCCAGCTCTGTGAGAGCCATGTGTTGGCGGAAGTGACTCCATGAGTCCAGAATGGTCAGGGGAACCATCCCCCCCAACCCCCGCCCCAGCTCTTCTGGGCGCCTGGGCCACTGACCTCACTGCACACCAGATGGTGCCTGGGCTAGGCTGACTGAGAAGCAGCGAGCAGGTGTGTGCAGAGGACTTCAGTGTGTCCCAGCCCCCAGCGGAGGACAGGGGTCCAGCTCGACATGGACACTTTAACCCAAGGTATGTGTAATATCTGAGGACATGCCTGTTGCCATAGCAATGTGCACACAACAGGGCCGCCCCTGCCTCCTGTGAGCCATCCCAGCCACCATGCTGCCGCCGACGCCCTGCACCAGGGACTGCAGATGGGGTTTGCAGGCCAGTTCTGCAGAGACAAGAGGCCTGGAGAAGGCCTTGAAGTGAGGTCAGGCCTGCTGCACCCCAACTCTGCCACCCAGCCAGAAACTAAAACAGGAGGTGTAGGGAGCTGCTCTCTGTGTGGGGAGCCCAGGCTTAGCCCTGTGGCCCGTGTCAGTCTTTGGGCCAGACCATATGTAACCGGACTGTTATTTCAGGCTGAATAGTGAATGTACCATGGGTTGCCAGAACAAACAAATCCGTATTCAAAGAACAACCAGATGGTTAGAGAGACTTGAGCTCACTTACTTTGGCCGGGTCACCGTAAAAGACCAATTGCTTGAAACGGTCATTGTGTTAGGCAGTGCCGAGGGTCAGGTGGACTGACACGATCACTGCACCAGTGGACTCAGACATGTTAGCGATCACGGCACCGATGGGCACAGTTTCATTCTGCTGTACGTAAGGTCACTCAAAGTTAGAGTCCAATCAGTGGCAAGTAACAACAGCGTCGGATGCACTTATTTCAGGAGTTTTCTGTTCAGGGTATGTGTTCCTGAACCAAGGGGCTGCTTCCCATTGGGGCTAACTTCTGCCATGTGGCGTAGCCTGCCTCCAGGGACTAGGAACAAGTCTTAAGGGTTCATGGTTGTGTTGTTGGTGGTGTTGTTATTGCCTCCAAGTTGGTTCCAACTCCTCGGGGCTCTATGTACAACAGGACAAAGCAATGTCCCATCCTATGCTATCCCTACAATGGTTGTCGTGTTTGAAATCATTGTTGCAGCCACTGTGTCAATCCATCTCTCTGACAGGCTTCCTGTTTTCAGCTGCCCTTCTATTTTACCAAGCACGATGTCCTTTATCCAGGGACTGGACTCTTCCTGCTAATCTGACCGAATACCTGAGATGAAGTCTCACCATCCTTGCGTCTGAGGAGCATGCTGGCTGATCCATCTCCCAAGACAGCTTTGTTTGTTCTTCTGGCAGTCTATAGCTCTTTGACTAGCCTTCATCCACACCATAATTCAAATGCATCAACTCTTCTACGCACTGTCCAACGTTGATCCTTATTCCCATGCATTGTCCAACTTTCACGTGCATCAGAGATGACTGAAACTATCATGTCTTGGGTCAGTTATACCGTGGTCCTCTAAGCGACTTCCTGACTCTTCAACTCTTTAAAGAGATCTTGTTCAGCAGATCAGCCCAATGTAATGTGTGGATCATAACAAACTATGCATAAAGGCTTGACTACTGGCCGTGTACTGTCAAATGACTATAAGAGGTGTCAGCGTGCTAGAGAGAGGATGCAGTGACAGCCTCTTTGTACCAAGCATGGTGCTGAGTGCTGAGGACGCAGCAAGAACAAAGACACGTTTCCTGTCTTCAGGAAGCACAAAGTGGAGAAGAAGGTAGCTAAGCAGCAATGAGAATATGTTCACACGGTCGTGTTCAGTGTATGGGAGGGAAGTGTGTGCTCTGTCACTTACCCGTTGTACCATTAACTGTGTAGCAACAACTTCTCGGGCATCTGGAGCTAGTTGTGGGTAGGCTGGGGTCTCAGCCGGGCATCTCACAAATCTGCATGGACTGGCAGCGGGCTGATCAAGGATCTAGGTTGGCCTTGGCTGGGACAGCTGGGGCCATTTGACTCTGCTCTACATGACTCTCCTCCTGTTCCATCAACCTGGGCTTAAGAAAATAGCTGAGGTGCTAGAGGGAAATGCCACTCACCTGTGTTTTCCAGGTCTCTGTCATGGTGAGTAATCTCCCATTGCCAAAATGAACCTCAAGGCGGGAGGACCAGAGTCCGAGAGGGAGGAGACTGCAAAGTTCCGTGGCGAAGGGCATGAACACAAGGAGGGGTTAAGGTCCAAGATCATTAACCTAATCGTTCTGTCACACGTGGAAACCATTGGGACTCTGGGGAGGGGCCTAGCCAAGCCCAAGGTGGTCGGAGACGGTCCACCGCCAAGCTGACTCCTGAGCAGAGCCTGGGAGGCCCAGTCTGAATTGGCCTTGGAGAATGGAGGCGGGACTGAGTGCCTTCATGCATAAGGAACAGCGTGCTCGGAGGCTCAAAGGCAGGTGTGTGAAGATCCCTGGACAGGGTGGTATTGGGGGAAAGGTAAAAAAGGTTGGAGACCACAGCGGGGTCCAGGTTCCTCACTTGGAGGCTCGGTTGGAGAGCAGGTCCTTCGTCTTGAAGGCCGGAGGACCCGTGAAGTTTTCAGAGAAAATTGAAAAGGAGCAGCGGGCTGCTTTCTGAAGATGCTTCTGGCAGAAGAACACCGGAAAGGTGGGAGGGCTGGGGGCTCTGATGAGAGGGGAGTCGTGTTACAGTGGGCTCCGAGAGAGAGACGCTGAATTGGCGTGGACTCAGAGGGTGGCGTTAGGCATCAGAGCCTCCTGCACACAGACAGGAGGAGCAGGGCCTGCCTGAGGACCACCGTGGGGAGGGAGGCAGCCTAACACGGCCTCAGGGCCTTTGACCCAGGGATGGCAACTCATTTTCTCCATGGCTGTGCCAGAAACTCAGAACACTCCGGCTCCCCTATGTCTCCACCGAGGGTGTCAGGAGCGTGCAGTGGGCACGCACAGCTGCGCTCTGATGCTCCCGGCGCAGCTCGAGCCGTGGTGTCACTGCATGTAAAGCCTTGGGTTGCTAACTGCAAGGTCAGCAGTTCGAAAACACCGGCTGCGCCGAGGGAGAACGTCGAGGGTCTTGGTGTGTCTGTCAAGATGCAGTGTCGGAAAGCCATGGGTCCACTCGGCCCCATAGGCGCCTCTGGGTCAGAAGGGGCTCAGTCGTGGTGAGTTTGAATTCTGGAGACCAGACCATCTCCCAGAACCTTGTCCCTCGAGGCAGCTGTGGGCCACTGGCACCAGTCCTCACCCGATGCCAGAGGGCATTGGACTGCTGGAATTCATTGAACTGGTGTGTGTTGTGCTGTATACATTTTCAACAACAACAAATGATGCTGAGCAATAAATAAATAACTGTTTAGAAGAAAAGAGATGGAATTTCTGAAGGAGTGTGTTTAAAAAAAAAAGCCCCACTTGAGAGATTCCAAGTGGGCGCGTGGGCCCAGGGCATCTGGTATTTTGCATGGCACTCCAGGTGACCCTGATGCCTGAGAGGTCTGGCCGGAGCCCACCTGTGTCCCAGGGCCTGGTGCGCTGCCCACGGGCGCAGAGGAGTTTGGGAAGCCATGCTGACTCAGATGGCCAGGCCCTGGTGCTGTGTCCTGCCTTGAGGAGGCTTCCGGCACTTTGTCTGGGGCTTGAAATGGGAGAGGAGCTTTTGGTTGTCCTTGGTCCATCTGCCCCGTTCCTTCACTGGGGGTGCACTTCGTGACACGAGTCTGTGCCAATCCGGGAACATATCCTGAGCACAGGACCACGGAGAAGGTAAAAGGAGTAGCCACTTATCGGTCCAAAAGCCAGGCACCGTGAGCGAGGCCTCTCATTTCATGCGCCGCACGGTTAGACATGCTGTGGGGCTCGGCGCTGGCTTGGGCCTAGATGGGCAAAGGGCTGGAGGTGAGGGGGACAGGCCGTGAGAACATGTGCAGGTTGAGCCCACGGAAGTTGAGAGCCGCCATGACCCCCGAGCTCAGCCCTCACGCCTCTCTCCCTCCTCTGCCCAGGTGCTGTTTGCCCTGAACCAGACGCTGCTGCAGCACGAGAGCGTGCGGGCAGGGAGCCTGCAGGCGCCGTATACCACAGAGGACCTCATCAAGCACTACAACTGTGGGGACCTCGGTGCCGTCATCTTCAACCACGACACGTCCCAGGTGAGGCTCCCCTCCTCCGGCCCAAACCACCTCGGGGTCACCAGCTCCAAAGGCCGTGAACCAGGCCACTGTGAGCCCACCTGGCATATATGGGACCCCTACTGTGTGCCAGGGGAGTGGTAGGCAGGGGGTACGGTTAGTGTCCTTGGGCAGATGGGGAAACTGAGACTCAGAGAGGGCATGGGACTTGCCCGAGGCCACGTGACATAACAGTGACAAAGGAGCAGCTTGAGCTAGGTTCGTGTGCATCTGTGGCCAAGACCCAGAAGGCCTAGCCTGTCAGGACAAGAGGCCCCTGGGAGACTCCATGCAACATCTGCAGAAACAGAGCCCCAGAAAAGCACAACTCCACCCTTAGCTGGGGCTTGGTATGAGTCCCTGGTGCTGGACTTTCTGCCCTGATTCATGGAGGTGTCAAGGAAAGATGAGTACCAGGCTGCAGTGAGCAGGACTCAGAGGGGGGGCTTGTCACACCTTTGCCCAGGCTCCATCACGGCCCCATTGCCTCAGGGTGAAGTCTAAGATGCCTCTCTTGGAGTGGTCTTCCTTGCGCTGACCTTGTCGATGAAGTTCCCGAACCCACAGGCCCCGTTCTGCAGACCTAATGCAGTTTGCCCTTTCAGACCTTCCCGGCACATTCAGCCCGCTTCTCACACCTGGATTCCTGCTGCTTGCCCATGGCCAAGTGCCACCTTCTCTGGGATGACCCCTGTCACACCCCAACCCCCCGAGGCCCTCTGTGCCTCACTCCATCAAGGTACTTGTGTCACCATCCACTCAAGAAGCCGGGGAATTAGTCAGATAGACCACTTCTGGTCCCAGCCTATCTCAGAGGGAACACCGGCATCTCTGTGGTCTGCCACGGTCCCCAATCTCATCTCCTCTTCCTTGTCCCTCCCACATGCCACACAGCCACCTTGCTAGTCCATAAGCCCACCTGGCATGTATCTGCAACTCCAATGTCATTAGCTCCACGAAGCTGGGCTCAGCTTCCCTCCCTCCCATGCCCACACACTCCAGCCCCTTCATTCTGCTCCACATTTATCCCATGGCCTTCGCTAGCTCTTCACATAGCAAGGTCCCCAGATGACACAAAGGGTTTGCAGATATCTACTTACCTAGAGGTTGGCGGTACAAATCCATCTTGCGATGCTGTGACAGTCCGCTTCCCCCAGATTGTAGCCAAGGACACTCTCTGTAGAGACAGGACTCAGGCCTGGGCCCTGTGTTGTGGCTCCATGCTTCTCACCTGCCAGCCCAGGAGCCCCTGAGAGCATGTGCTCGGCTGCTCATCCCCTGGTCCCTAGGGCCCCGCTCCGGGCCGGGCACAGCACGTATGTTAGGGAGTGATCGCCGCACGGCAGATGGAGGTCTCATTGTACGTGGCAGCGGGACAGAGTGTAGAGGAAGGAGCTGGGGACCCTCAGGAGGCTCTGAATTCTGAGCTCTGCCTGTCACGGGTGGAAGGAAGAACAAGGAGGAGGGGAAGCTTGGCCCGTGGGACTTGGACTTTGTGCCCTGAGTCCAGAGTAGCCGGGGAGCTCTGGGACAGGGAGACCCGGCCACCACTCAGGATGGCCTGGTCCAAATGGCAGGTGGATGACAGGGCCATGGCCTGGCTGTGGCTGACCCTGACCTGAGAAAGAGGACAAACAGGGTAAACTCGGGGTCAGACCCCGGTGGTGTAGGGGTTGAGAGTTGGACTGCGATATGAAAACCAGCCATTTGAAACCACCAAACAGCTCTGTGGGAGAAAGACAGGGCTTTCTACTGCCGTGAAGAGTCCCTCTCGGGGATCTTAGGGACAGTTCTACCCTGCCCTCTAAGGTCGCTAGCAGTCAGCATCGACTCGATGGCACTGAGTTGAGAGAATGTCCAGGACCACTGGTTCCTTTCTGATGGTGGTGACTGCATCGTGGCCTCCGGCAGTGTCCACACCAGGAAAGGGGCAGAGTGGCTGATGGGTCCACTCAGACCAGGAGCGCAAACAGGCTGCGCTCCAGGGTGGACAGGCAGAGGCCAGCCCCTGGAGGATCTCAGGTCCATAAAAGCCTAGTGCCAGCGTCACTCACTGCTATCCAGTCCGTACTGACTCCTAGCTACCCTACAGGGTAGGGTAGACCGAGCCCCTGTGGACTTCAGAGACTCTTAACTCTTCACAGGTGTAGAAAGCTTCATCTTTCTCCTAGGAGGCCCTGGGGGCTTAGAACTGCTGACCTTCAGTTAGTAGCCCAATGTATAACCATGACACCATTAGGGATCCTAGTATCGCTAGAAAAACTACCAAGGTGAGCCTGCATCTTTGCCGAGAGGCCTCGAAGCCCACAGAGTGGGGTGGAGGAAGCAAAGGTGTGGGGAACAGATCGTCCGCCCGCCTGCAGCCAGGGAACCCTGGGAGGAGGAGGTGATGTTGGCACTAGCTTATAGAAGGGCAGGGCAGCATCAGTGGGGAGTGGGCAAGGGGGCATTGAGGAATGGTGCGCAGAGCTCTGGGAAGCATGCAGAGGAGAGAGTGGTGCCAAGGGGAGGATGCTATGCTGTGCCCAAGCAGGAGAGGGCTATAGCCCTGGCTGACGTGCTGAGGATGATGGGGCCACTGAAGGCCAGGGCAGGGGAGGAGCAGAGTGCCCCTCACCCTCTGTCTATCCCCCTCCAGAAATTACTGTGGCGCAGGGCTCCCTTACTCAGGGTCACACAGAGCCAATGCCCTGAAATCACAGGATCATCCCCAGGACCCATGAGAAGCCTTCCCTGACCCCTCTGCCTGGGTTAGGTCTGCTGTGGTTAGGGTTCACTGAGACAGCTCCTGACAGAGGATCCGATGGTGATCCATAGGGCTCCTACTGGTTGATTTTGGAGTCTGGGGTCTCTGCTGAAACACATGCAGCGTCACAGCAACACACACATGTTCAGTGAGGTAAACAGGTGGTGGCTGTGCAGGAGGGGAATTGGCCACGGCAGGTGAGAATTCGACCACTGAACGAACCGCCACTGGCCCCAGGTGAGACCTCGGGCAGCTCGTGTGTTTGTTCTGTTGTTAGAAGTCCCCCGTCAGTTCCAACTCAGAACAGCCCTGCGCACCGCCGAAGGAAACGCCGCCGCTCCTGCGCCATCCTCACAAGTGTTCTTGTCTTTGAGCCCATCGTGTCAGCCGCTGTGTTGATCCAATTATCATACGAAGTCAGATACTTTCAAGAGTAAGAGGAGGAGCTCAAATAATAGAGACAGCGAGTGACCCCGCCTTAAACCATAAAAGTAGACCATCCTGGACTACCCAAGGCTTGTAGTCACTATTGGGCACCTCCTTTGGGGCCCCATGGTCCTCATTGCCTGCTCAAAGTGCTTATCCACGGAGATCTCCACATCTGTGTCCAAATCTGACTTCTCTACTGGGCAGCAGACCCAACCGAAGGGTGCCTTGTGGCCCTCCAGCTCCACAAAGGACTGGACCCCTGCTAGTTCTTAGAAACGGGCTGCATGGGTGGTGTGAAAGTGAAGAAGTAAGTCCATTCAGAGCAGTGGCGTCATCCGGATCTGAGCACTGGACCCTCAGACCTGACCCAGCCCCAGTCACAAGTCAGAGGACTCCCCAGGCTCCAACTCAGCCCTGCGTGGCCCAGCGGCCTCATCAGTCCATCAGAGACCTATCACTCATGGGCCCTGGGGACTGGACGTGTCCTCTTTACGACGTTATCGTACATCCTGCACTTAAGCTTGTCACGAGAGATTTAAGACTCCCGGCAATTCTAGTGACATCATTAATTTACTTCTGGCCCAGCTCCACCCAAACCTGGGCCTCTTCCTTGGCCCCGAGCCAAGCTCATCAGCATGGGAACACAGACCACGCGGGCCGGCCACTGAGAAGTCCCGGAACCCCAGCGCCTGGCCGGACTCCTTCACGGCTTTGCCAGGGAACTTCCCTCCAGCGCTCCAAAGAATGAGTGCAAGTGCATCTTTACCCAAATGCACACTGAGGTCCAGGAGCCTGGTCCACAGCTCCAGGGAGAACATGTCTCTCTGGAACGCCTAGAAAACCACGGCAAGAGACAATGGTGGCGTGGCACATTAGAGGGAAGCAGGGCATCCGTGCAGTGCTCTCTCCAGGCGAGTTAGCCGATCAGAGGCCAAAACAGACGCTGCCCAGTCTTCTTCCCCTTCTGGTGACCCCAGGGGGGTTGGAGAGCACCGCGCTCCGTGGGTGGTGCTTGTTTGTAAATTCTAGAGAACACATTTGTATGTCACCCTTTTCCTAGTATACAGCTTCATGATACCAGTTACATACGTCAGATTGTTTAACCATGACCCATAATCGATGCCTGTTGTCTCATCCCCCAGACATCAACTGCTTTCTGTCCGGAGAATGACTCTCCTTCTCCCTCTACCCTCCAGCCCCAGGGAACCACTTGGTCTCGATGTATTTACCTACTGCTGTCATTTCACGTAGCCGGGGTCATACAGTCTGCCTTTGGGGGACGGACTTACTTCAGCCCATGTCTTTAGGGTTGGTCCACGGCTGTAGCATGCATCAGGACTTCATTTCTCTTTGTGGCCCCATAGTATCCCATTGTCTGTGCATTCCTCTGTTGATGGGCACTAAGGCTGTTGCTACCTTCTTGCTCTAGTTACTAGGGCTGCCATGAACACAAGACGCAGACGTTTGTTTATTTGCATCACTACTTTTAGATCCCAGAGGTCTAGATCTGCGAGTGGCATGGCTGGAGTTTTATCTTTAGATGTTTGAGGGATGGCCACACTCTTTTGTAAATGGCTGTGGCATTTCACGTTCCCACCAGCAGTGGGTCAGGGTGACAAGTTTCCCATATCCGCACCGACGTGTGTTCTTTACTGCTTTGAAACCATTACCATTCTCGTGGGATTCAAGTAGTACCTCCCTGTAGTTTTGAGGTGCTTCTCCATAATAATTGATGATTGGAAACATCTCTTTACGTGTTTGTTGGCTGCTCGAATATCCTTTGGTGCACTATCTGTTCATTTCCTTT